CAGGCACACCAACCCGCCCCCAAAAAAAAAAAAAAGCACAGTACTTGGAAAATGAGTCTGGAGGATCACAAATTTAAGGCCAGCTTAGGATACAAAACTCTCAAAACAAAAAACAAGGTGCTCTAGGTCCAGGATAGCACAGCTGCAGGATCTGCGTACTGGATGTCCTGTTCTGACCATGGCCAAAAGGGAGAAGTGTATTCCAGGCAAAAGGGATAGCCAGCAAGACAGGCTGAGAGGAGCAACCCCACATCCCTGAGGTTAGACAAAAACCTGACGAATAGGAGGAGTAAGGACAGTGTAGCATCCAGGAACTGACTAAGAGATCCCAGATGGTGGGTGCAGGCCTTACAGAAGGCGGTAAGTTGCCTAAACTCTTCTGTTCAGTACAGTAGTAAGTATCTAGGTTTTAAATCATCCTTTTAGGCTCTTGTTTGTGTGTGAGATTTTATCTTTTTGAGATAGGGTTTCTTGTATCCTAGACTGGCCTCAAAGTCCTTATCTAGAGGAGGGTGATTTTTGAACTCTTGATCTTTTTGGGGGAGGGGGGGATTGAGACTGGGTCTATATAGCCCTGGCTGCCCTGGAACTCACTCTGTAGACCAGGCTGGCTTAAAACTCCCAGAGATCTGCCTCCCTGTACCACCCAAGTGCTGGGATTACGGGTGTGCACCCCCATTGCCCCACTGTATCTGCATACTTTTAAGACTAGGATTTTTATTTCCTACCCTGGTCTCTGCTCAGCTGCAGGTTCTTTTCAGTTTTCTAAATTTATTATTACTGTATGTGTGTGGAGTTGAAGATCAAAGGCCAAATCTCAGGAGTTGGTTTTCTCCTTCGAGCATGGGCTCTGGGAATAAAACTCAAGTCCTCAGGCTTTTAGGCGCTGAGCCGTCACACCAGCTCTGGGCCGCAGATTCCTGTGCTAACAGCTTTGGTTTGGTTTGGGTCAGTTACTTTCCTATTGTTGTGATTAGACACCATGACCAAGGCAATTTCTAGAAGAGTTTATTTGGGGCTTATAGTTTCAGAGGGTGAGTCCATGACCAGCATGACAAGGAGCATTGGCAGCAGGCAGGCAGGGTGGCGCTAGGGTAGCGTGAGAGCTCAGATCTCTATCTACAAGCACCAGACAGACTGCTAACTGGGAATGGTGTGGGCTTTTGAAACCTCAAAGCCTGCCCCCAATGAAATGCCACCTCCAGGAAGGCCACCCTTCCTAATTCTTCCTGAACACTTCTACCAGCTGGGGACCAAGTGTTCAAACATATGAGCCTATGGGGACCCTTCTCATTGAAATCACAACTGTCCATTTGAGGTGGCCTCATGTAGCCTATGCTAGCCTCAAAACTGTTATGTATCCGTGGATGACCTTGAACTCATGATCTCTGATCCTCCTGCCTCCTGCTAGAACCAGAGGCCTGAGCAACAGTCCTGGCTTGCCAAAATTTTTAAGGGTCACACCAAGCAAAAATATGCATTAGTGTGAGAGAATTCCAGGAGCTGAAATCCCAGAAGGGCACAGGCACCCAGGGCATACATAGGAAGCCCATGGGTGGGAGCAAGAGATGGGTCTGTGGGCTGAAGCTTCTTTTGGGGCCCACAGCATTTTCTGTATGTGTTAGTTTCCCATGACAGGACAGGACTACATAATTTGAAGGGAGCCCAAAGCAAAGGTGGGGGACTCAAGAGTCTGGTTCACCAGGCTTCAAACCACAGCCAGGTTGTCAAGTGGTTCACAGTACGGACTTCATCCTACTAAAGCAGGATCAGGTAGAGAGAACCATGGAGGTCAGTATGATAAACCCGGACAGGGAAACAAACTAGAAGCTAAGGGCTGGGGACAGAGCTGAGTAGTAGACCACTTGACTAGCATGGATGGGCTTCCTACCACCACACACACACACACACACACACACACACACACACACACACACACACACACACAGAGGAGGGCACTGTAAAGATGATGTTGATAATAAGAATAGAGACAGTTCCTGATCATTACGTCAGGGGCAGGCTTCTTTTTTCTTTTTGTCAAGACAGGCTCTCACTGTGCAGCCTAGCTAAGCAGAACGCACTATGTAGACAAGGCTGACCTTGTCTCTGCCTCCCGAGTGCTGGGATTAAAGGCCTGTACCGTTATGCCAGGCTGTGGTCAGGTTTGTTATTAGTGGAATGAACTA